TCCGGTGCGTGCCAGGGACAGGAGGAGGACGCTGACGCGAACTGCGACCACTAGCGCGAGCAGCACGAACAGGTGACGCGGGACGAGACGCAGGCTCACGTCGCTCAGCAAGACCTCCAGTAGGACCAGTGTAAGGAGAGGGAGCAGGCAGTGGAGAGGAAGGCTCCAGCAGAGACTGCGACTGGACAGGCGGTGGACCCTCTAGTGGAGGAGAAAGACCAAGAACCTGCTGCAGGAGCGGAACGAAGTACGGCCGAGGCCGCGCGGCAGCTCCAGACGCAGCAGGGACAGCACCAGCACCCTCAGCGACAGCACCAGCGCCACCCACACCTCCAGCGGCAGGACCAACAGCAGTAGGCTCAGCACCAACGCCCTCAACAGCTCCAGCTCGAGGAGGACCCGCAGGTCCAGCAGCTCCGGGACCGGCAGCACCCGCACCCTCGACGGACGAAGAAGCTCCAGCTCCAGCTCCAGCAGCACCTCCAGACTCAGCAGCACGCCTCCAGCGGCGAGCGAACCACTCGCGCAGCTCCTGTGGAGAGAGGGGCTCCCGGCGAGACGCAGCAGCAGGAGAAACCCCAGGCTCAGCAGCTCCAGACGCAGCAGGGACAGCACCAGCACCCTCAGCGACAGCACCAGCGCCACCCACACCTCCAGCGGCAGGACCAACAGCAGTAGGCTCAGCACCAACGCCCTCAGCAGCTCCAGCTCGAGGAGGACCCGCAGGTCCAGCAGCTCCGGGACCGGCAGCACCCGCACCCTCGACGGACGAAGAAGCTCCAGCTCCAGCTCCAGCAGCACCTCCAGACTCAGCAGCACGCCTCCAGCGGCGAGCGAACCACTCGCGCAGCTCCTGTGGAGAGAGGGGCTCCCGGCGAGACGCAGCAGCAGGAGAAACCCCAGGCTCAGCAGCTCCAGACGCAGCAGGGACAGCACCAGCACCCTCAGCGACAGCACCAGCGCCACCCACACCTCCAGCGGCAGGACCAACAGCTGTAGGCTCAGCACCAACGCCCTCAGCAGCTCCAGCTCCAGGAGGACCCGCAGGTCCAGCAGCTCCGGGACCGGCAGCACCCGCACCCTCGACGGTCGAAGAAGCTCCAGCTCCAGCTCCAGCAGCACCTCCAGACTCAGCAGCACGCCTCCAGCGGCGAGCGAACCACTCGCGCAGCTCCTGTGGAGAGAGGGGCTCCCGGCGAGACGCAGCAGCAGGAGAAACCCCAGGCTCAGCAGCTCCAGACGCAGCACCCCCAGGCTCAGCAGCTCCCGACCCAGCACCCCCAGACCCAGCACCTCCAGGCACAGCACCCCCCGGCTCAGCACCCCCAGGCTCCGCACCCTCCGCAGTAGCACCCGCAGGCCCAGTACCCCCAGCAGTAGCACCCCCAGGCTCAGCACCCCCGCGCACAGCACCCCCAGAGTCAGCACCCCCAGGCTCAGCACCCGCACCAGCACCAGAGTCACCTGTAACCTCGACCGGGTCAACGGCGTCTACCTGGGACACACCTGAGGGGGCAGGAACCTGAGGGGGGAGGGGGTCTACCGGGGGGGGAACCGGCACAAGGAAGTCCGGGGGAGGGGGGAGGGAAGGAGTGCGGTAGGGGAAGAGACGGTAGAAGGGGACTGACTCGTCGAACGTGACGTCCTGGGAGGACAGAACACGACGACAGGAGGGGTGGTAAAACTGCCACCCTGGGGCGTCAGTGGGGAAGCCAAGGAAGACACAGGGAGCAGCACGAGGGGACAGCTTGTCCGCAGACAAGTCGCGGACAAACGCCCGAGATCCCCAGACACGGAACACAGACGCATCGCCAACCTTCCCTGTCCACAGCAAGGCTGGGGACATCGCAGGCCGAGAGACCCGGGGGTGAAGGTTGAGCTGATGCGCCGCGTACCTCACCGCAAACGGCCACAGAAAATGGGGGGCAGCCGCATGCATCATGGACGTACGAGCGACATCCATGACCATGCCAATGCGGCGCTCAGCAATCCCATTTTGCTGTGGTGAGTCCGGAAGCGTGAAGGACTGGCGGATGCCTCGCGCACGACAGTAGGCTCGCAGAAGGCCAGAGGAGAACTCTCCGCCTCTGTCCGAGTGCAGACGCAGAACAGGAAAGTCCGAGCCGAAGCTCTTCCTGAGCTGGAGACGAGCCTCGCGGATCCAGTCGATCAGCACCTCAGTGACCGCACCCTTGCTGCGCAAGGGGAGGACTGTGGTGTAACGCGAGTAGTCGTCAACCACCAACAGGAAGTAGCGCTCGTAATCCTGCCCACGGACGGGGGCTGGGCCCCACACATCCATGTGAAGCGTCTGCAGGGGAGCCTCTGTCGGGGGGAAGTGGGAGGAGTGAGGAGTAGCTCGGAGGCGACCCTCGACACAGGGGACACAGGAAGGTCCTGGCCCGGAGGGGAGAGGAGGGAGAGACTGGGGAAGACCAGAGACAAGGACACGGGAAGCCATGCTCCGAAGACGGGGCAAGGAGGGGTGGCCAAGACGGTGGTGCCACAGGAGAGTCTCGTGAGACAGGAGGCGACAAGCACAGGGGGCAGACTCAGGACCAGACCTGGACGCAGCAGCAAACACCTGACCCGACGCTGCTACCTGACCGGACGCGGGGACAGGAGGAGACTCAGTGGTCAGGGTGTAGAGGCTCGACCCCGGCCGACGCGAGAACGTGGCCAGGTGCCGGCCTGTGCGTGCGTCCGTGCAGTGGGTCACCCGCTGACTCGCAGGAGTGAACTGGTGAACCCCCGCATCCTGTAGGTCTGCACCACTCACCAAGTTCGTCGAGAACGAGGGGAGGTACAGGCCAGACAGGGTGCCCGAGGGGGCAGCCGGACACGGGAGGACAGTGGAGAAGTGAGCGAGGACAGGACCCCCAGAGGGGTCAGCCAGGGAGACTGCAACCGGCCGACCAAGCGGCGTGAGTGTGGTGCGGTCCCGAAAGAAGGAGCGAGAAGCCCCAGAGTCAAGTGTAAAGGTGAGGGAGGCCGAAGCCAACGCGGTACCTGAGAGCGCAGCCTCACCCGCACCTGAGGAAGCAGACTCACGAGCACCTAGAGCAGCAGCCGCACCTGTACCTGGAGCAGGAGACTCACTAGCACCCAGAGCAGCAGCCTCACCAGTAGCTAGAGCAGCAGGTCCTATACCTGGGTCAGGCGGGACGCACAGGTGACCGGCACGGTCAGCACTAGTAGGCAATGCATACATGGCAGTGAGAATAGCATCATAGTCAAGAGCATATATATCTACCCTCTGCCTAAGCAACTCCACCCAGTCGGGAAGCTCAGCCTCGTCGCCAAACACGGTACGCCAGGCGTCGCTCAGACGGGCGAAGCAGCGGGACGGTGTATGACTACGTGTCCCACAAGGCTGACCAGTCCGAGTACCAGTGCGAATCACGTAAGAGCAGCGAACAGCACTGAGAGACCCTCCACTCTGAGCGTACCACTCACGAAGCTGGCGAGGCGTGAGAGACACGCGAGAGGGTCGCGGGAGCTGCATCTGGCCGCCACCACGAGTAGAAGCAGCAGGAGTGGAAGTAGGAGTAGCGTCGCCACCCCTACAGCCCCAACCAGCGTACCACTCACGCAGCTGCTGGGGCGTGAGGGACTCACGCAGGCGTCGCTGGGGCTGCATCTGGCTCCGCAAGTAGAAGCAGGAGCAGGACTAGCAGCAGGAAGGCAGGCAGCCAGGCAAGCCAAAAGGCAGGCAGGCAGGCAAGCAGGCGACGCGCAGCGTGCTAGCAGGGCAAGAGCTCACCAGTGGTGGGAAGAGTAGGCTCGGCGACTCAGTGGCTCGGCAGCTCGGCGGCTCGGCGGCTCGGGCGACTCGGGCGGCTCGGTGGCAAGGCGGCTCGGCAGCAACTGCAGCTCAGCAGCTCGGTGACTCGGCGGCTCGGCGGCAGGGCGGCTCGGCAGCAACAGCAGCTCAGCAGCTCAGCGACTCGGCGGCTCGGCGGCAGGGCGGCTCGGCTGCTGGGCGGCTCGGGTGCAGGGCGGCTCGGCGGCTGCAGGTGAGCGATGAAGGAGGAGGAGAAGCAGGGGAGGCCACGCACCCCCCTCAGGTCGCCTCGACAGGCGACGGGAAAAGGGGGGTTGGGTGGTGGGGGCCGGTAGGTGCAGCGGCGGGGCCAGCAGGTGCAGTTGCGGGGCCGGTAGAAGGTGACGGCAGGAGCCGTCAGGAGGGGACGGCGGGGCCGTCAGGAAGGGACGGCGGGGCCGTCACGAAGGGACGGCGGGGCCGTCAGGAGGCGACCGGGCCGCGACGGGGGCAGGCGGCGGGGCCGCGTAAGGGCCTGGGCGGGGCCGCGACAGAGCCGTCGACGGGGCCGCGTGAAAGCCGGGGCGGGGCCGCGTAGAAGCCGGGGCGGGGCCGCGCGAGAGCAGGCGGCGGGGCCGCGAAGGAGCCGGGGCGGGGCCGCGTGAGAGCATGTGGCGGGGCCGCGTAAGGGCCTGGGCGGGGCCGCGACAAAGTCGTCGGCGGGGCCGCGTGAAAGCCGGGGCGGGGCCGCGTAGAAGCCGGGGCGGGGCCGCGCGAGAGCAGGCGGCGGGGCCGCGAAGGAGCCGGGGCGGGGCCGCGTGAGAGCAGGCGGCGGGGCCGCGTAAAGGCCGGGGCGGGGCCGCGACAGAGCCTGCTGCGGGGCCGCGTGAGAGCCGGCGACGGGGCCGCGTAAGGGCCGGCGGCGGGGCCCCGTCAGAGAGGGCGGCGGGGCCGCGTCAGTGAAAGCGGCGGGGCCGCAGGGAAAATGACGACCCGAGGGGTCGCTAAAAAAAAAATCGCGCCTCAGGGGGCGCTTCGGTGGGCCCAAAAAAAAACGGTCCGTAGAAGGACCCGCTCTATACCATGTCAGAATCAGCGAACAGGAATGAATGAACTAGCAGTGAAATGAGTACAAGTAGGAAACCCTAGAATTGTGTACCCCCTATAGGCTAACCCACTGTAGCCTACACAAGCAGAACACATATAATGTTTGACACTCACTCCTCCCCACTCCTCACTACCCCTCCCCCATACATACCGGGCCGACAGCAGGAGAGAGGATAAAGTGTCTTGGCACTTCCCCCTCTGCTTCAGCAGCATCAATGCGAGCCTTCATTTCTGAAAGCACGGACGGAAAGGTGGCGCCTGGAGCACCCTGGTTGGGGAATGGGCATAAAATTGAATCAGCAGAGGGAGTGGATGGAGGATTGGAGAAAACGGTGGTGGCGTCTGTTTGAGCAGCATCAATGCGAGCCCTCAGTTCTGAAAGCACGGACGGGAAAGTCACGCCTGGAACACCCGGTTGGGGAATGAAAGGGCGAGGGAAAGAAGGAGGAAGGGGCGGGGGGAAAGTCGGCAAGTCGGAGGAAAGGGTGGTGCTAATGTCTGCTTCAGCAGCATCAATGCGAGCCCTTAGCTCTTGAAGGACAGACGGGAAGGAAAGGTTACGCCTAGAGCACCCTGGTTGGGGAGTGGAAGGGGAGTGGAAAGAAGGAGGAAGGAGTGGGGAGACAATAAGAGATGGTGTCTGCTGCAGCAGCATCGATGCGAGCGCATAACTCTTGACGGGCAGACCAGCACCCTGGTTGGAGAGTGGGGGCGTGCGACGGTGCGAGGAGGGTGGTGAGAGGAAAGGGAGGTGCCTGTTGGGGCAAGCAAGGTATCTTACCCGCACTTGCATCACCCCCACCACCAATGCCCACCCCACCTCCGATACCCACCCCCACACTCACTTCAGCTGCTCACCCACCCACCTTGGTGTTTGGAGCGAGAGAGGGCGGATTGAATACCATGACAGCAACAGTGCAGTTTGACTGGGAGAGGACATACTGTGAGGGGATGAGCGAGCAAGGTATCCATCTCGCACTTGCATCACTCGTACCCACCCTCCACTCCCCACCATTCATGCGCTCACCAACCCACCTTGGTGTTTGGTGCGAGAGAGGGCGGATTGAATACCATGACAGCGACGGCGTAGTGTGACTGAGGGAGGGCGTACTGGAGGGATGGGCAAGGTATCCTTCTTGCACTTCCATCGCCCATATCCACCCTCCACACCCTTCATCCTCTCGCCCACCCACCTTGGTGTTTGGCGCCAGAGAGTGTGGATTGAAGCCCATGACAGCGACGGCGCAGTGTGACTGTGAGAGGGCGTACTGGGGGGATGGCAGGGGCACGGCTGTCGTGCTCTTACCTCCCTCCCCACCTGTCATCCTCCCACCCACCCACCTTGGTGTTTGGCGCGAGAGAGGGCGGATTGAAACCCATGACAGCAACGGCATAGTGCGACTGTGAGAGGGCATACTGGAGGGACAGCAGGGGAAGCGATTGGGAAAGAACAGGGAGTAATGGAGTGCTTATGTTGTATGCTGTGTGATGTGTGCTGTGTGTGTGTGCGTATGTGCACAGGTTGAAGCCCATGACAGCGACGGCGTAGTGCGACTGGGAGAGGGCGTACTGGAGGGATGGCAGGGAGGGAACGAGAAAGATGCAAGTGGGTGGTTGTGCATATAAAGGGAAGTGGAAGGATGAGCACTGAAGTCCATGACAGTGGCAGCAGCGATTCGGAGAAGGCGTCTTGGAGGGATGGGGTGGGGAGCAGATAGAAAAGAGCAGGAAGGTACGAAGTGTGCATGCAGGGAAGTTAAACCCAACACGGAGCAGCTTGGAAGGGTGTCTGACTCTGACTCTGACATCCTTATTCAACAAGGATGTCTGGCTCTGACTGACCCACGCTTAGTCGCTTGGCCCCTGATAGGCTTGTTTGACTCATCTTGACTTGTGCTTGCAGTGCATGGCCCCTGCTAGGCTTGTTTGACTCACCTTGACTTGTGCTTGCAGTGCATGGCCCCTGCTAGGCTTGTTTGACTCACCTTGACTTGTGCTTGCAGTGCATGGCCCCTGCTAGGCTTGTTTGACTCACCTTGACTTGTGCTTGCAGTGCATGGCCCCTGCTAGGCTTGTTTGACTCACCTTGACTTGTGCTTGCAGTGCATGGCCCCTGCTAGGCTTGTTTGACTCACCTTGACTTGTGCTTGCAGTGCATGGCCCCTGCTAGGCTTGTTTGACTCACCTTGACTTGTGCTTGCAGTGCATGGCCCCTGCTAGGCTTGTTTGACTCACCTTGACTTGTGCTTGCAGTGCATGGCCCCTGCTAGGCTTGTTTGACTCACCTTGACTTGTGCTTGCAGTGCATGGCCCCTGCTAGGCTTGTTTGACTCACCTTGACTTGTGCTTGCAGTGCATGGCCCCTGCTAGGCTTGTTTGACTCACCTTGACTTGTGCTTGCAGTGCATGGCCCCTGCTAGGCTTGTTTGACTCACCTTGACTTGTGCTTGCAGTGCATGGCCCCTGCTAGGCTTGTTTGACTCACCTTGACTTGTGCTTGCAGTGCATGGCCCCTGCTAGGCTTGTTTGACTCACCTTGACTTGTGCTTGCAGTGCATGGCCCCTGCTAGGCTTGTTTGACTCACCTTGACTTGTGCTTGCAGTGCATGGCCCCTGCTAGGCTTGTTTGACTCACCTTGACTTGTGCTTGCAGTGCATGGCCCCTGCTAGGCTTGTTTGACTCACCTTGACTTGTGCTTGCAGTGCATGGCCCCTGCTAGGCTTGTTTGACTCACCTTGACTTGTGCTGCCACGTAGGGAGCGCTGAGGCCACAGCTGATGCCGATCTGAGGCAAGACAGAGAGGGAGGTACAGGGAAGGTAGTGGGAAGGAAGGACACATGTTATCTGTAGCACGCTTCAAAAACATGCTGCCACGTAAGGAGCGCTGAGGCCACAGCTGATGCCGATCTGAGGCAGGAATGAGAGGGGGAGGTATGGAGAGGTGGATGGTGGAATGGGTGGGGGGGGAGAGGAAGTAGGAGATGCGGTGCAGTGCAGTGCGGTTTAAAGCATGCTCCTACACAGGGTGCGCAGAGGCCGCAAGTGATGCCAATCTGAGGCAAGACAGAGAGGGGAGGCACATGGACGGGGATGGGAAACGAAGTAAATTATCATCAGAGCACCTCAAGCCTTCAGGGGCATGGCGCGACGTAGGGGGCGCCGAGGGCACAGCGACCAGACGCGTCCATTTAAGTCCACACGCGTCAAGTTGCATTCAAACACGTCCAGACGCCTTCATTTGCCTCCTCACGCGTCCAGATGCGTCCAGAAGCGCCCGGACTCATCCAGACGCGTTCAGATGCGTTCATACTCGCCCAGTGGCGACCAGACGCTTTCACTTTCGTCCAGACCCTTCCAGAATGCACAGGGAAAGCGAGTCAGGGGGACGCATGTAGAGGGCTCTCCCGCACGGCTTCCACAAACCACCAGCTCTTTCAATTGAATAAAAAGCCCACAGAAAGGAAGTAGGTGTATAAATGAGGCAGGCACGGCATGGGGCAACATGAAAGAGCAGGGAGCAGGGAGCAGGGAGCAGGGAGCAGGGAGCAGGGAGCAGGGAGCAGGAGGCAGCACGTACATAGAGCACTCGCCCACACGGCTTCCCCCACGGGTTGCCTCTCGCCTCCACTCGCCTCAACGCTGCCTCTGCTGCTTCTTGGTTGTCCTCTGCTCCCTCCTGTGCCTGGTGTGAAAAAGTGGGGGGATTGGTTGGGAGGGGGTTAGGAGTGAGGGAGGTTGGAAGGCGGTCATGAGAAGCAGAGAGGTTGGAGAGAGGGGTAATCTGAGGGTATATGGTGCCTTTTTGTGCCTCTTGTGATGAGTCAATTTGTGAGTCGACTCAAAAATCGACTCATCACAAGCAGAGAGGTTGGAGAGAGGGGTAATCAGGGGGTATATAGTGCCCTTTTGTGCCTCGTCTCAGTGCTGCCTCCCTCCGCTGACTGCGGAATGAGAGACAGGAGAGGGGGCAACAGTTTCTCCCTGTGCCACCACAGTTGTATATATTCAGAAACAACAGAGAGCTTTCATGAGCTTAGGGGACTTTTGAGTCGACTCAAAAGTCACCTCGTTTCTCCTTGTGTCACAGTTGTACATATTCAGAAACAACAGACACCTTATATGAGCTTCTGTTTCTGTTGAGGCGCCGCAAAAGTGAGAAACAGAATATGCAAGTCTGCGGACTTCATATTTCACTTTGCACATGAACGCACACGCATGCGCGTGCGCACGCGCGCGCACGCATGCACGCACGCGCGCGCGCGCACGCATGCACGCACGCACGCACGCGCGCGCGCGCGCGCACGCACGCACGCACGCACGCACGCACGCACGCACGCACGCACGCACGCACGCACGCACGCACGCACACACACACACACACACACACACACACACACATGCACGCACACGCGTGCTCCCATTCCCCCCTCTCCCCTTCCCCCCCACACCCATCCACCCACGCCCCCCTCTCCCCTTCCCCCCCTTGCGCGCGCGTGCGCGCACACACACATACACACACCCACACACCCCCCCCCCCCCCCCCCCTCCCCCCCCCCCCACACACACACCTTGAGTAGGGCCGGTAGCCCCCCTGCGATGAGGAAGTGGAAGCAGGGCGGCCGGCCGTATCTCCTGAGCACCGCGTTGAAACAGAGAACCACCTGCAGGTGAATTTTCAGGTGAAAGTCGGGTGGGCGGTTGGCACGTGCCAGATGGTTGGTTGGCTGGATAAACGTCCAGTGCAGGAAACGTCATCGTGTGTTTCTTGAGAATTCTCAAAAAGTATGGCGTTAAAAGTTAACAGCTTGAAAGAATGAGAGAAGGAACTTAAAGCCCGATGTGTTTTGAGTCGACTCAAAACACACCTGGAACTTATAGCCCAATCCACTGTAGTAAAGAAAAGGCAGAAGTAATAACAGGGCCCATTTTTTTGTTGCAGCTTTTAGTTTCGAAAAAAGGTGAGTGTTGAGTCGACTTGAAAGTCACCCTGTTAGAAGTTTCGACTCAATTTCTTTAGAAAAGAAGGCTAAGTGATCATCCAAAAAACTGATAGAAGAGAGGCGAAAATCGCCAGAGGGGAAAGAAAGCAATTTGCAGTAGACAAGCAGGAATTGCAGTAAAAAACACTTGACATGAAGATTCACCTGAAAGGCTATTCTGCCACTGGTGCCGGCACCTGACACCACCACTGCACTATCCTGAGTTACGGGGGAAAGGGGTGGATGATTGCGAGGGAGAGAAGGGGGCAAAAGGGCGAAGGGTAGAGGGGAAATTGGAGCTGGGGAAATGCATACGTGCCGGCACCTGACACCACCACTGCACTATCCTGAGTTACAGAGTGGTGGGGCGCGATTGGGAGGGTTGGGGGGGGGGAGGAGGAGAGATGAGTAAGTGGGGGCCAGTGATTGGGGCCCATGCGAGTGAGTGGTGCCGGCACCTGACACCACCACTGCGTTATCCTGAGTTACAGAGTGGTGGGGCGCGATTGGGAGGGTTGGGGGGGGGGAGGAGGAGAGATGAGTAAGTGGGGGCCAGTGATTGGGGCCCATGCGAGTGAGTGGTGCCGGCACCTGACACCACCACTGCGTTATCCTGAGTTACAGAGTGGTGGGGCGCGATTGGGAGGGTGGGAGGGTGGGAGGGGGGAGGAGGGGGAGGAGAGATGGGTAAGTGGGGGCCATGCGAGTGAGTGGTGCCAGCACCTGACACCACCACTGCGTTATCCTGAGTTACAGAGTGGTGGGGCGCGATTGGGAGGGTGGGAGGGTGGGAGGGGGGAGGAGGGGGAGGAGAGATGGGTAAGTGGGAGCCATGCGAGTGAGTGGCGTCAGCACCTGACACCACCACTGCACTATCCTGAGAGATGAGGTAGTGGGGAGGATAAATGCGAGCCGGGAGAAAGGGAGAAGAGGAGAAGGGGAGAAGGGGAGAAGGGGAGAAGGGGAGAAGGCGGTACGACCATGATTGGGGAGGGAAAGAGACGGGTGAGTTGGGGCATGCAAGTGGCGCCAGCACAAGACACCACCACTGCACTATCCTGAGAGATCGGGCGGTGGTGACCATGATTGAAAGGAAGGAAGGAGAGAAAAGGCAAGGGAGAAAAGGCAAGGGAGAAAAGGCAAGGGAGAAAAGGCAAGGGAGAAAAGGCAAGGGAGAAAAGGCAAGGGAGAAAAGGCAAGGGAGAAAAGGCAAGGGAGAAAAGGCAAGGGAGAAAAGGCAAGGGAGAAAAGGCAAGGGAGAAAAGGCAAGGGAGAAAAGGCAAGGGAGAAAAGGCAAGGGAGAAAAGGCAAGGGAGAAAAGGCAAGGGAGAAAAGGCAAGGGAGAAAAGGCAAGGGAGAAAAGGCAAGGGAGAAAAGGCAAGGGAGAAAAGGTAAGGGAGAAAAGGCAAGGGAGAAAAGGCAAGGGAACAAAAGGCAAGGGAGAAAAGGCAAGGGAGAAAAGGCAAGGGAGAAAAGGCAAGGGAGAAAAGGCAAGGGAGAAAAGGCAAGGGAGAAAAGGCAAGGGAGAAAAGGCAAGGGAACAAAAGGCAAGGGAGAAAAGGCAAGGGAGAAAAGGCAAGGGAGAAAAGGCAAGGGAGAAAAGGCAAGGGAGAAAAGGCAAGGGAGAAAAGGCAAGGGAGAAAAGGCAAGGGAGAAAAGGCAAGGGAACAAAAGGCAAGGGAGAAAAGGCAAGGGAGAAAAGGCAAGGGAGAAAAGGCAAGGGAGAAAAGGCAAGGGAGAAAAGGCAAGGGAGAAAAGGCAAGGGAACAAAAGGCAAGGGAGAAAAGGCAAGGGAGAAAAGGCAAGGGAGAAAAGGCAAGGGAGAAAAGGCAAGGGAGAAAAGGCAAGGGAGAAAAGGCAAGGGAGAAAAGGCAAGGGAGAAAAGGCAAGGGAGAAAAGGCAAGGGAGAAAAGGCAAGGGAGAAAAGGCAAGGGAGAAAAGGCAAGGGAGAAAAGGCAAGGGAGAAAAGGCAAGGGAGAAAAGGCAAGGGAGAAAAGGCAAGGGAGAAAAGGCAAGGGAGAAAAGGCAAGGGAGAAAAGGCAAGGGAGAAAAGGCAAGGGAGAAAAGGCAAGGGAGAAAGGCAAGGGAGAAAAGGCAAGGGAGAAAAGGCAAAGGAGAAAAGGCAAGGGAACATTTAAGCAATGGGGAGAAAAGGCAAGGGAACAGGAAACAGCAGCATGCAATGGGGAAGAGAAAGAGAACGAGAACGAGGAAGAGCAAGATGAGGGGGGGAAGGGCAGGGGAGAGTAGGGGAGGGCAGGGGAGGGCTGGGGAGGGCAAGGGAAGCAAATCTGAAAAAGGAGGAGATAAAGAGAAAGAGAAAGAGGAGGGAAAGGACGGACTGCTTGCCTTGGAGAAGGAGACGATTTCAGCCGCCACTGCTGTTCTTCAGACATAGTCCCAGCGAGCTGCAGACTTAACTAGGCTTAAGCAGAAGAGGAAGGCGGGGAAGGACGGACAGCTTGCCTTGGAGAAGGAAACGACTTCAGCTGCCACTGCTGTGAGCTGGTCGACCACTCGAATGGTCTGATGTAGAGATGAGGGGAGGGAGGACAGGGAAAAAGGGGAGGCGGACAAGGGGAAGTGGAGGGGCGCGAGCAGACAGGGGGAAAGGGAGCGGACAGGGGGGAGGAGCGGACAGGGGGAAGGGGACGGGAGCGGACAGGGGGAAGGGGGGGGAAGGAAGCGGAGAAGGGGAAGGGGAGCGAGACAGGAATGGGGCAAAGGATGAAAAGAAAAAGGGGGGAGTGGACAGATGGTTTAGGTAATTCCGAGCATGGAGTGGAAAGTACCTGCACATTGCATTTAGAGAAGAATCCCCCGCACCGCACGTCACATGTTTTGAGGCATCCCGAAAAACGGGGGTAATGAGGCGACTTTTGAGGCGCTCCAAGAGTAATTCCGAGCATGGAGTGGAGAATAAATCTACCGCGCATCACAATCCAATCCAACCCCAAGGAAAGCTCCAAGCACGCTCATCCCATGCTTCAAGCACCCTCACTCCATGCTTCAAGCACCCTCACTCCATGCTTCAAGCACCCTCACTCCATGGTTCAAGCACCCTCATTCCATGCTTCAAGCACCCTCACTCCATGCTTCAAGCACCCTCACTCCATGCTTCAAGCACCCTCACTCCATGCTTCAAGCACCCTCACTCCATGCTTCAAGCACCCTCACTCCATGCTTCAAGCACCCTCACTCCATGTGTCACATTTGCGTGAATGTGAATGGGTTAGCGAGGTGAGATTGGGAGTTGTACATATTGTATATACTGTATATAGCGAGGAAGGTAGTGACGAGGAGGGGATGCGAAGGGTCAAGGTGGGGGATTCGAGGTTCACAAGGAGACCAGTGGGGAGAGGGAGGTAGACCTCTGCCGAAGCGAAGGGTTGGGGGATCTAAGGGGAGGCGACAGGGCGGGACTGACGTAAGTGGAGGAGGGCAAGGGTTGAAACTGTAGAATGAGGATCGGTGAACTTGAGGCACAATGAGAGAAGAACAATATATCCTTAGTAGGAAGATGGTACAAGCCTGAAAGGCTAGAGCAATGTCCTTTCCAAGGATAAGTTCTAGAGAAGTGGGAAGCCACATTTATGTGGCTGAACTCTTGAGGCTAGCTGCAGCACCTCAAAGCTGAGGGCAGGGCTAGCCAACCTTGCCAAGCTAGCAATTGAGGCCACATGTTGCACATGTGGGCCAGGCTGGAACAACAGCCTACATGGCAGCATGTGGCACACCATAGGAGCCAACAAGGTGAGTATGGGATGGGTGGACAGATGGCAATGCCAACTGTGACCACACTTCACTGTGGGTGAGTGTGGTGGAGTGTGGGAGTGTCATGTTCGGCATAATGAGAAGAGAAGGTGCTGCCGATGAGAGTTGAACCCGCGACCACTAAGACCAAAGGTACCCACTGGGACATTCTTGCTTCCACAACACCCCCCCTCAAGGATGTCCCTGGGGTAGGGTGCCTCAAGAGGAAACATGGGTGAGACCGAGAAGACCACGGATGCGAAGAAAAGGGTCACGGGGCAAAGGCTTGGTCCCAATGTCAGCGAGGTTGTCTTGAGTAGGAACATAGTGAAGGGTGATGGAGTGGTCGGCAACATGATCGCGAATGAAATGGTGCTTGATGTCGATGTGCTTGGCCTTGGGATGAAAGACGCCATCGTCCTTGGCGAGAATGATGGCACTGTTGTTGTCACACGAGATACGGGTGGGGCTGGTAGGGGGAAGTCCAACTGCAGTAAGGAGCGAACGAAGCCATAATGCCTCGTGCACCGCGGCGCCCAGAGAGTAATATTCAGCTTCACATGAAGAGGTAGCAACGACGGCTTGGCGTTTGGACTGCCAAGAGATGAGTGACGGACCGAGGAAGAACAAGTAGCACGTAACGGAGCGACGCAGCTCCCCCTCCGGTCCCCAAGAGGCGTCACACCAGCCATGAAGTTCGAGGGTGTCGGGAATGCCACCAAGGAGAAGCCCAAGGGAGGTAGTCCCTTTCAAGTAGCGAGCAATGCGTTTGGCAGCCGAGACGTGAGGAGTAGACCAATCGTGAAGGTGACGAGCAAGAACTCCAGCGCTATATGCGAGGTCGGGACGGGTCCCCACCATGGCATACATGATGGAGCCGACAAACGAGGTGTAAGGGAAGGAGGAGGAGTGCGGGGAGGAAGTCACGGGTGGCTGAAACTTTGTGTCCATGGGAGTGGCAGCGGGGTTCAGTGGAGAGAAGGAGTAGGTGTCTAGAATGGAGGTGATGAATTTGGATTGATGAAGGTGGAGAGTGCGGGAAGTTCGATCACGAGTGATGTGAAAGCCAAGGTAGTAGGAGAGAGGTCCGAGGTCACGAAGTTTGAAGCGAGATGAAAGGGCATGCTTGAATGAGGCAAGAAGAGAGGAGGAGGAGGAGAGAATGATGAGGTCGTCAACATAGACGAGAAGCATGAAGAAGGATGCAGCTGTAGGCCGATAGGGTGAGTGAGGAGGAGCAATGAAGAGGCCGGGGTCCGCACGAGCAGCAAAGAGGTGAAAGGCAGCAAGCTCCTCACGAAGCTTGCGGTACCAGCATCGCGGAGCTTGCTTCAACCCGTACAGCGGTTTGTGCAAGAGACAAACTTGCTCAACACCATGGACCGCCGGAAGGTCATAACCGGGAGGCTGCATCATGTAGAGAATCTCATCAAGGGTGCCGTTGAGGAAGGCGTTGGAGATGTCCAGCTGATGGACGTCCAGGTTGAAAGCGGCAGCTATGGTGAGAAACAAGCGGAGGGTGGCGAAGCGGACGGTAGGAGCAAAGGTGTCATGAAAATCAACACCATCACGTTGCTTGAAGCCTTTGACAACAAGGCGGGCTTTGCGGCGTTCAATAGAACCATCAGCGTTCTCCTTGACCTTGAAAATCCATTTGCATGGAATCGGCTTGCACTTGGGTGGTCGAGGAACAATGCTGTAGGTGTCATTAGCGTGCAGGGCAGCGAGTTCCGCATCAGCAGCCTTGATCCATTCGGCAGCATCAGGGCCGGTACGAGCCTCATGAATGGTTTGAGGTTCGTAATGATGGTGAAGGGCAGCATTGGCAGAGGTGTTGGAAAGAGGAGGAAGAGTGAAGTCAATGGGTTCGGAAGGGGATGGTAAGACCTTGAGGAAGGAGAAAAGGGAAGGATCGGGAAGAGCTGAAGGGGATGGCGGGGAGGAGCGAGTCGTGCAATGGGGAGGGGGAGGCGAAGAGGGAGGAGAGAAGGATGGAAGGTGAAAGTCTTGCGGCGTCGAGGGCAGAGGAAGGTTGGAAAACAATGGAGGAGGAGAAGATGTGGCTGGTGCGGGCAGGTTTGGGGATTGTGGGTGGGGGTTGGTGGAGGAAGGTATAGTGGGGGAAGGAGAGGGAGGGGAGATTGGGTCCAAGGAAGAAGGGTGTGTAGGAGGAGGTAGTGAGGAGGATGTGGGTGGAGATGACGATGGAGGGTCGCGAGAGTCGTCGGAAGGCGGTGCAGAGGGCTCCATGAAGATGACATCACGAGAAAGGATGACACGGTGCTGAGATGGGATATAGATGCGGTAAGCTTTGGTGCCGTCGAGATGACCATATCCAACCATGATGCCGGCCGTGCTTCGGTCGTCGAGCTTAGAACGCCGTTGGGAAGGAATGAGGACCGAGACGGGTGAACCGAAGATGCGGAGGTGTGATACATCCGGACGTGCACCGGTCCATAGTTCCATGGGAGTCTTAGAAGTTGAACCACCCCGACTAATGGCATGATTACGAAGATAGGCAGCAGTAAGAGCGGCTTCACCCCACCAGCCTTTGTCCATGTGTGCATCATGGAGCATGGAACGGACCATCTCAAGTAAAGTCCGGTTGGCCCGCTCAGCTACTCCATTTTGCTCAGGTGTGTATGGCGTGGAGAGGTGGCGGGCGATGCCATGAGGTGTGAGGAATGAAGTGAAGGCTTTGGAAGTGAACTCCAAGGCACCGTCAGAGCGAAAGGTTTTGATGGTGTGTGGGGAATGCATGTTGTGCACCCGAGTGACGTAAGCCTTGAAGCATGAAAGTGCCTCCGACCGGTGGGGTAGGAGATACACTGTAATGTGGCGGGAGTAGTCGTCGATGAAGGTGAGAAGGTAGCGAGCGCCGCCAATGGTAGTTCCATATGAAAGCGGTCCAGCAATATCTGAGTGAATGAGTTGGAGTGGGGCTGTGGTGCGAGAATGGGACACGCCAAATGGCTGACGTGTTTGTTTCCCACGATAGCACGAGATGCAGGGGGGAATCGAGGTGGAGGAGAGGTGAAGACCGGTGACCAGCTGCTGCCGATGAAGTGTTGACAAGGCCTGCATGTTGAGATGCCCGAAACGACGATGCCAGAGGTACGAGGAGGTGGTGGTGGAGGCTGGACATGCAGTTGGCTTGATAGAAGGAGCAGCACTGCTCCCATGATGCAGTTGAAGATAAAACAGATTGTTGCGGGTGTAGCCCTCGCCAATAGGAACGTCATCAGATGTGAGAACAACGCGCCTAGCAGCGGGGAACGAGACGGCAACGCCGGCAGCACCAAGCGCACGAACAGAGAGCAGGTTGTGAACTGATGAAGGGAGAAATAGAACGTTGTCAAGCTGAATGGTGGTTTCCGATGTTGGTGACCGAAGAGTAGCCACCACCGTGCCGACTCCCAAGACCTTGTAAGTCTCTCCTCCACCAAAACGAACAAGGATCTCTTCGTTGGGCTTCTTGAGAGACGAAAACAGCGAACGATCCGAGCAGATATGGGAGAATGCGCCGCTGTCCACCAGCCACGACGAAGTCCGCTCCATATTGAATGAGGAGGCCGTGAATGCCGATGCGTAGGGAGCCCCATAAGGGAAGAGGAGGAGGAGAAGGAGGATGGTGAGAATGAAGACAGCAGCGACGAGAGGAGTCCATGTGGAGAAGATGGGGTGGTGGCTGGTGCTGACAGCAATGTCCACGTACCGGGAATCAGGTACGGACTGAGGGGTTGATGGGGCAGGAGGTGGTGTGGGGGTCGGAGTAGCTTCAGCAGAGGAGCTGGTGGAGACATGCACCGAGGGTTGGAAGACGGATTTCTCCCGTTTAGAGCTTTCTTCAAGCTCTTTCTTCTTCTTCAATTTGAAGCATTCATCGATGGTGTGACCCGTTTTCTTGCAGTAACGGCAGGTGGGCGACTGGCGTGAACCGGAGCGAAGAGGGTGGGAGGGCTGGGAATTGAGGTTGTATGCACCCTCCATGTTACGGCTTGTACCAGATTGTGACCGCTCCCAATCGGCATCGAGTAGGCGTGACTGTAGGTATTCAACCGTCATAGACTTTATGTCTTTCACGGTGCAAATGGTTTCAGTAAGGGTCTTGAACGAGTCCGGAAGGTTGAGGATGATGGAGATTACCACCACCCATGATGGTAGCTCAAAGCCGGCAGATTTGAGTTGGTGTGTAAGGTTTCCAACTCGATCAAAGTAGGAGCGAAGACTTGTTGTTGGGTCCATCCGTGTAGTGATGAGATCCCGGAGGAGAGCCACTTGTGCATGGTTGCCCATGCAGTCGAACCGCGCCATGATGCATCCCCACATATCCTTTGTCGTGTTGGCTTGAGCAAGAGTGAGCGATAGTTGAGGATGGACGGCTGACATGAGAAGATAGTATGCATGCTCCTCTTTTTCTTCATCCGGCAGCGAAGCAATCGAATGGGCTGTCTTAGGGGCTGCACCGCTGTTGCCTTCGGTAGTCTCTCCACCGCTGGTTGTGGAAGAGGAGATTGAAGGACGCGAAGCAACCTTGGGATCTCCAAGGAGGGAGATCAGCCCGAGGACATTGAAGATGTAGCATATCTTTTTCTTCCATGGAATGAAGTTGGAACCATCTGGTTCCAAGATGGGAAGGGTGTGCCGACCGAGAGGCGTTTCAACTTGAGCCATGAAGTGTGCAACGTTCACTAAGCTAGAAGCCTTGCTCTGATACCATGTAGAATGAGGATCGGTGAACTTGAGGCACAATGAGAGAAGAACAATATATCCTTAGTAGGAAGATGGTACAAGCCTGAAAGGCTAGAGCAATGTCCTTTCCAAGGATAAGTTCTAGAGAAGTGGGAAGCCACATTTATGTGGCTGAACTCTTGAGGCTAGCTGCAGCACCTCAAAGCTGAGGGCAGGGCTAGCCAACCTTGCCAAGCTAGCAATTGAGGCCACATGTTGCACATGTGGGCCAGGCTGGAACAACAGCCTACATGGCAGCATGTGGCACACCATAGGAGCCAACAAGGTGAGTATGGGATGGGTGGACAGATGGCAATGCCAACTGTGACCACACTTCACTGTGGGTGAGTGTGGTGGAGTGTGGGAGTGTCATGTTCGGCATAATGAGAAGAGAAGGTGCTGCCGATGAGAGTTGAACCCGCGACCACTAAGACCAAAGGTACCCACTGGGACATTCTTGCTTCCACAACAGAAACTACAGCGCTTGGCAGCAGCAAGGACAGCCGGTTACCACATCAGCTCGGATGGGTGTTCGCATGCGTGTGTGTTTGCTTTCGTATGTGTGCAGGTGTGCTCCTAGGAGCCAGCTGGAACAGCACAGTGGCAGCTGGAGGGAAGAAAGCAGGAGGCGGGCAACACAGGCAGTAGGAAGGATGGATGCCAGTCTGTTCTAAGGTCGCGTTAGCTCCTGAGGACAGGCGAGGGAAGGCAGGGCAAGTGAGGCGGAGGCAGATCTGGTAGATAGGAGGTACCTTGTTGTAGCTATCCTCAATGCTTGTATGTTTCCTTTGTAACACGATTTCTTGCACCCTGACGAGCAAGTAGTGAAGTAAGGAGCCATAACAAGCAGCAATGTAACTGATTAATTAGTGGGAGATCTATGTGAGGGAGCCAGAGCTTATCACTAGAGTGAGGGCAGTGAGAGCAGTACAAGAAGCAGAACCAGAGCAGAGGAAAAGGGGTAGAGAGAGGCTAGGCAGAGGCCACAGGAGGAGCGGAAGTAGCAAGGCGGACGACTGCAGGAGAAGTCCCGGTGAGAGTGCAAGGAAGGGGAGAGTTCCAACAGGTGCAGTCCAGGGAGGGAAGGGAGAAGAGACCAGTAAGGACAAGAGACATACAAAGAGAGAAACAGGGAGGTGGTGAGGTTCCGACAGGCACCCTCACTCCATGCTTCAAGCACCCTCACTCCATGCTTCAAGCACCCTCACTCCATGCTTCAAGCACCCTCACTCCATGCTTCAAGCACCCTCACTCCATGCTTCAAGCACCCTTACTCCATGCTTCAAGCACCCTCACTCCATGCTTCAAGCACCCTCACTCCATGCTTCAAGCACCCTCACTCCATGCTTCAAGCACCCTCACTCCATGCTCCAAGCACCCTCACTCCATGCTCCAAGCACCCTCACTCCATGCTCCAAGCACCCTCACTCCATGCTTCAAGCACCCTCACTCCATGCTCCAAGCACCCTCACTCCATGCTTCAAGCACCCTCACTCCATGCTTCAAGCACCCTCACTCCATGCTTCAAGCACCCTCACTCCATGCTCCAAGCACCCTCACTCCATGCTCCAAGCACCCTCACTCCATGCTCCAAGCACCCTCACTCCATGCTTCAAACACCCTCACTCCATGCTTCAAGCACCCTCACTCCATGCTTCAAGCACCCTCACTCTCCGCTCTGCACTCCCCCTCTCTCCATGCGTCACAGGCACCCAACTGCATCACTCCACTTCAAGCACCCTCACTCTCCGCTCTGCTCTGCACACGCCCTCCGAGTGTACTCTTCCCGTTTCACCCGCCCCCCCCCCCCCTCCCCCCTCCCACCACTGCATTCCCCTCGCACTGCACCTCCCCTCTGCACTCCTTCTCTCTCCGCGCGTCACAGAGCACTTCTGTCAGGCAGGCTTATTGCCTCAATAGAGTTTGCTATTAACGAAGCAGACACCTCGCAAGCCTATAAAAGGTATCGGGAGGACAACCTCGCACGCTCACCTCTTCGTCCATCAGGCCGGGGTAACCCGCATAGCCGGCGAAAAGCTGCGCGTCGCACGCGCGGAAAATTCGCACGATTTCGTCCGGCGACGCGACGTCTATCGCCGAGGACATCGCATTCGGTCGCTCTGTGAGAGGGAGCTCGTGCGACCGCAGTTGCGACCGCGAATTCGACATTGTATGCGACTGCGACTGCGGCTGTCAATGCGGGAACGGTGCGACGCTGGCCTGACAAGGACGAATGCACTTTATCTCGAGCTTATTCCAGCATACCTCGTGCCTACTTAATACTTCCTCGTCTCGATTGTCAGTTTGCGTTCGAATGCAAGCATTCGTAACACTCAACTCAAGTGACACGCCGCGTGAAAGGCGATACGGTCTAGAAAGTCAGCTGTTCCCGCTCTTTTCCACCCACCCACTCTTCCATTTCGAACTGACAATACGCTATGAGGCGCGGTACATTTGAATAAAACTCCAGATTCGCGATGTTTCAATTCTTGAGGAACGTTGGCAATCTGTAGGAAATTCTGGCGATGCAAATATCGCGAAACTGGAAACGATGTCACACTGCTCACAGCCAGTCAGAGATTCCACACCGTAACATTCTGACTGTTCATTACAAGTTCTGTTCGCGAGCATGTCGAACACAGGATGAGCAGTGCCGAACATCTCGCGCGACAATGTGGTAACACGAACGATGGTCCCGAGTTTCAAGATTGGGAAGACCCCAATTCTAGTTTCAAGGATTAGTCGAAGCCGTCACCTCCTCCTCCAGTCTCATTCACCTCTCGCTATGTTCATTTCATTCTTTCTTCCTTTGGGGACAAAGCCAGAGCTTTGGTAGGGTAAAGCCTCAGAGTCAGGAAGCCTTCGTAGCTTGTTAGACTTTCCTAAATTGGCGTTCTTTCCTGCGTTCTTTCCACGGACAGAAACTAGTTCATATTCACTAGAACCACAGAAGCTCGTTCTTCATGTCAGCCGTTTATAGCTCAGAAGCCATGCCTCCCTCATACATCAACACCCTCTCAGATGACCTCCTCGCTAAGATCTTCTGGTATTCCCCAAAGCACGTCCCTTCTCGCCGTCAATCCGAAACCCGTAGTGATTCCATTGATTCCATCTTGCCACGACCTAGGTACACCTCCGAAAACCCGTACGGCGACGATCTCAACTCCTCCCATGGCTTCACAAAACCGTCCTCCCTGCAGCAAAACGGCAACAACGCTACTATTAGTACAAGTACCGCTAATATTACTAGTCCGTTGTCAGCTCCTAATATCCTTACAGATCCAGCGTATAATCTCCTCATCGCGTCTGTCTGCAAGCGCTGGCGTCGCGTGGCTCGCCGTGAGGTCTCAATGCTCGTCGTGAAGAAAAACATTGCCGTATCGCTTCAAGATCTCACCACAGTCATCAAGTGCTTTCCGAACCTCTCCCATCTGCACCTCGGCGACAACAGCGTAGAAACTATCAACGACGCGTTTTTCGATTTCCTCGCTTCGACATGCCCTAATCTGGTGTCGCTGCACGTAGGAAGGGAGATCACGTCGAAATGGGACTATTTTCGGCCGGAGGAGCATCCGGTGACGGTAACCGGTTTGGACCGATTCATCCGCCGCTGCACTCAGCTGCAGCACCTCTCGCTCTACTGCTTGCACTATTACGGCGCGCTGTCGGATTCTCTCTCGCTGCTCACCAACCTTCACACCCTCGCTCTCACCGAAGGCTCGCTTCTCGAAGCTCCAGGATTCACAAACCTGACTTGTCTCACCGCCCTATCCATCGGTATTCCGGATATGGAAGATGTGAATCTCGAAAGCCTCGCGCATCTCCCAGCCGTCTCCACCCTCGTTTTATTCGACAACACATGCCCTACTATAGAAATCGGAGAAGCATTTAACCCCTTTTCATTCACCCAGATGCCGTCGCTTAAAGCCCTGGAGTTCGAGACGTGGTCTCCGCGGTTCGAGATCTTATTTCCATCAGGAAATTCGTTTAGTCGTCTCGAGCGGTTGCTTATCAAAGACTGCGACAGCCTCGAGCGGCTTCCTAACGACATTGGCGAACGACTGCTAGGCCTTCACGAACTGAGCTTGTGCGGATGCGAAAAACTTCTCGAGCTGCCCGATAACTTTGGAAATCTGCCCTCCCTGAAAACGTTGACGCTGAACCTCCTGCCTCTGTCGAGCCTTCCAGATTCGTTCACCCACCTGACATCCCTGGAAACCCTCTGCCTGTCTCACTGCGACGAAATCCTGGAGCTGCCTGCAAGGTTCGGTTGTCTCACCGCACTCAACTCCTTGAGTATCCTCGACTCAGACCTGAGGCTCCCAGACGACATAGGCTCGCTCACCAACCTCCACACTTTCCGGTTATCAGGAAGTTTCTCGCTGCTGCTGCTTCCATCCTCGTTCACGCAGCTGTCTTCCCTCACAAGTCTCCATATCACCCAGTGCAGGATACTAAAAGAACTTTCGGAGGACGTGGGGAAGCTGAGTAACCTGCGGGCACTGACCATCCAATCCTGTCCCAATTTACAGAAGATTTCAGAGTCTCTCACTGACCTTATCAGCTTAGAGGTTCTGAAAGTTGTGGACTGCGATAGCCTTACTGCAATCCCCAGCAGCTTGAGCAACCTTAGCAGGCTGAAAATTTTGGCACTAGCCAGGCTCCCCCGGCTAGAAGAAGTATCGGGATCCCTGCCCTGCTCCCTCGAGCTTCTCTCTTTAGGGAGTTTCAAGCGACTCACCTCTCTGCTGGAAACCCCTGCACTTCCAAAGCTGAGGGAGTTGAGCTCGACCAGTGAACTGCTTAAGGGTGGGCTGGCCGCTGGCTTGACTCTGCCCTCTCTAGAGCACTTAGAGCTGGAGTTCGTCTCATATACAAAGCAGTTTCCGTTGCCTCTTGAATCCCTTTCTAAGCTCCGCCGTTTGACAGTCCAAAATACTGGTTGGATGTAGAAGCTTCCGGAAGGACTTGGTTCGGCCCTGCAGCAGCTGAGGCGGCTGGAGATACGATGGGCTGCGGATGTAACAAAATTGCCAGACGGTTTGACCGAGCTTCAGTCTCTGACGTCCGTTGAGATCCATGCACCTAGAATTTCATCTCTTCCGGACGGCATCGGGGCTCTATCGCGGCTGAGGCAGCTGAATCTTGAAGAATGCTCATCGCTCACCCAACTCCCTGCTTCTCTCACCCAGCTTTCCTGCCTTCATGAGCTGAATCTCAGCTGCACAGCCATACGCTCCCTGCCATGCCAATTTGGACAGCTGAGCCGGCTTAAGAAACTTAAGCTGGATGGATGCGAGGAGTTGGCTGCTCTGCCGGAGGATTTTACCCAGCTCAAGATGCTACATAGCTTGTCTGTTAAAGGGTGTGGCAAGATTGTACCAAAAGGTGTGAGAGACATGTATGGGTTGCAGGTTCATACTGATTGTGATTGAGATCCTTTTTTAGGTTTCTCTTTTTGAGATATCAAATAGTTTGAAGCACTTTCTGATCTGCGCATTCAATGTCTACATTTTCTATTTCTGCTTTATTGTATGAAGAAGTATTTCCTAGTATTCTGAGGAGCTATACTAGCCTCCGGTAAGCCCAGCATTGATTGGAGTTGTCATTTTCAGGTTTAAAAATACGGTAAGGGAAACAGGTCCAGGGGAGAACCTGCTTGGCATGGAAGAAAAAAAAGAAAGCCCGAGAAAAACAGTGTCGGTGCTGGGATTTGAGCCCAGGTCTCCACGGCCACAACGTGGGATTCTAACCACTAAACTACACCGACATGTATTACCACGTATAAATGTAATCTAAACCTATATTATCAATTAGACTGGCCCGGACTTTTCCTGTCAAGAATTTCAGGGGTTGGTGTTTTCTGTACCTGTTCCAAATTCAAACACCTACCGTTTTAAACCGTCTTATAAATTCCTCGTTTCGTGTACAACCTCTGTGTACCGTGAATCTGACCTCCCATATTCCTACCACATGTGAATCTGACAGAATTTGTCACCATCTGATCACAGCAGAGCGTCAGTTTCTGATGGATCAACTCCGCAACGAGAGGCGAGGAATGCAGCACTTATTCCTCAGTTTTCGCTAAGTGAAGTCTTCGTTTAAGTTCTTGTTGCGTTACGACGACGAGCTCTTGCGGATCCAGTCGGCCTTGAGTCCCGGTAGACAAAGGAATTTTAATATCCTTGGATCGCGACGCGCCACCATGTCTGCGTGTACTGCCCAAATGTCCTCCATCTCCCCCGCCCGCTCCGCTAACTGGTCCAGTAACCGTAGCGCAGCCAGTAACCACGTCCGTGAATCTTCGCGAACCGTCGCGGGCGGCCTGTCCAGTAGGGCTGCGGTAAGTCAGTTAGAATTCGAGCAGTTGATTGGTTGACTTTTCTTCTTGGCGCATCAACAACCGTCTCTCGTAGTTACTGGAACTCACCTCGTTATTCAGTAGTCAAGCAGTTGTCTCACGCTCAGCAGCGCGCCAAGGGTTTACCCCCCATCAGCGAGCCAACTTGACCCCCCTAAACCTCCCATGCCGTTTCCCCATCGGCGTTTTGAAATTCGAAGAAACCGACTCGATCGTTCTTCCCCGTTTCCTGCTCCACTCGCTCCTCTCTTTGAGATGAGTCGATTTTTGAGTCGACTCAAGAAACCGACTCGATCGTTCTTCCCCCTTTCCTGCTCCACTCGCTCCTCTCTTTTGCGAAGGACGTTCGGAGGACTGGCTCGCGGAATGGCAGAGCCAGGGCGGCGAGGCTGGTTCGGTGTGTGTCCGAGCCTAAAGTGGAGGCTCGGTCTGCCGAGGAGGTGCTTGCATCTCAGCCGTCGTTTCTTCGCCACATCGCAGATCATGTGAGTGCAGATTTCAGAGTTGAATTGTTGCAACCATCATCCGTCCCACTCCCACTTCCCCTCCCACTCCCATTCCCACTCCCACTCCCCACTCTTACTCCCCACTCCCCACTCCACTCCCACTCCCATTCCCACTCCCACTCCCACTCCCAACCCCATTCCCACTCCCACTCCCACTCCTGCTTCTTCCCTCCCCTTGTCTGCAATCAAGGGGCTTCTTCCCTTGTTTCTTCGCCACATGGCCGATCATGTGAGTGCAGCCCTGAGAGATCCTGCACCTATCATCCCTCCGTCCGAATCTCACTCCCACTCCCACACCCACTTCCACTCCCCACTCCCACTCCCACACCCACTTCCACTCCCCACTCCCACTCCCACGCCCATTCCCTATAAACCCCAAACCCTGAACCCAGCCGCATCCCTCCCCTCCTCTGCTTTCATGTATGTTGCGACATTTGAGGGGCCTCAACATCCGTTCGTGGACACCCACTTGCACCTCTTTCCCCCTTCTCTCCCCTCTTTTCCCTCCTCTCCCACTCTCCTCTCCGCTCTGCTCCCCTCCACCCCGTCACCTCTTTCTCCCTAATCTCCTCCCACACACACAACCCCCTCCCATTCACCCGCGGTGTCATCGACACAGTACAACCCCACTCACTTCCCCCTCCACTAGGGCACCCCCCTGCCATTCACCCTGCGAGTCATGAAAATGTTCCGGTCAACTTAGGGCTGTACAGCAACCAGGCGTGCCCACCCCTTCACCTGGCTCCCTATTTTTCTCATTCCCCCCTCCATTAGGGCACCCCCCTGCCATTCGCCCGGCGTGTCATTGAGACTGTTAAAGTCAACATCGGCCTGTATTGCAACCAGGCGTGCTAAATACCTCTACTATGTCCCTCCGCCCCTTCCCCCTTTCACCAGGGCACGCCCCTGCCCTTCACCCGTCGAGTCATTGAGACTGTTCAAGTCAACATCGGGCTCTACTGCAACCAGGCGTGTCAGCACTGCCACGTGGACTCCTCCCCTCTCAGAACCGAGATGATGGAGCACAGAGCAGCAGAGAGGGTGGTGAGTGCTGGAATGCGTTGCAATTATCAAACCGTAAGCCCCCAGCTTCTTGCTTGTACTGCAACCAGGCGTGCCAGCACTGCCACGTGGACTCCTCCCCTCTGAGAATGGAGATGATGGAGCACAGAACAGCAGAGAGAGTGGTGAGTGATCTTTCTCTATCCCCAGACCCTGCAAGCCCCAGACCCTGCAAGCCCCAAACCCTGCAAGCCCCAAACCCCCAGCTGAAAGCTTGATTAGGTCAACATAGGCCTGTACTGTACTGCAACCAACCAGGCGAGCCGGCACTGCCACGTGGACTCCTCCCCTCTGAGAACAAAGATGATGGATCACAGAACGGCAGAGAGAGTGGTGAGTGCTGGAACACCGTATAGGCCAGTGCTTGCTCACTGTCTCTCCTCTTTCAACAAGCCAGCAGCACTGCCACGTGCACTCCTCCCCTCTGAGAACCGAAATGATGGATCACAGAACGGCAGAGAGGGTGGTGAGTGACCTCCCTATCCCAACCAGTATTGAAGCCCTACCAGCTAGCCTGTACTGTTCTGCAACCAACCAGGCGTGCCAGCACTGCCACGTGGACTCCTTCCCGCTCAGAACCGAGATGATGGATCACAGAACGGCAGAGAGGGTGGTGAGTGATCTCCCTGTTCCGTCAACAAGCCAAGCCAGCACTGCTATGGGCTCTGTCTGCTCTCCTCCCCTCTCAGAACCGAGATGATGGATCATAGAACAGCAGAGAGAGTGGTGAGAGCACCCATCCCAGCCAGCAGTGAAACCCGAAGCCTTACCCCCAAGCCCCAAACCCTAAGCCCCAAGCTTGAAGCCTGTATTGCAACCAGGCATGCCAGCACTGCCACGTTGACTCCTCCTCTCTGTGAACCGAGATGATGGATCATAGAATGGCAGAGAGAGTGGTGAGAGCATTCACAATGCGGCTAGCTGTACCTATACACGCTAAGCTGCGACCCACCCACCCACTGCCCGATTTTCCCTGAAGCCCAAGCTTCAAGCTTCAAACCCCAATTCTTAAGTTTGAAGCCTCAACCCTAGCACGCCTTCCTTCCCCTCTCCACTCCTCGCCCCCTTCCGCCCCCCCCTTCCCTCCCCCACTTTTCAATCCAATCCCCTGCAGGTGCAGCTGGTGTCAGGTTGCCCAAGTGTGCCCTTTATGGAAACATCCTGCAGGCAGGTCTTTCAGGAAACGTGTCCCACGCCCCCTCTCTCCCCATTTTTTTTCCCCTTCCGCTCCCCCTTCCCTCCCCCATTTTTCAATCCAATCCCCTTGCAGGTGCAGCTGGTGTCATCCTGTCCAAGTGTGCGCTGTGTTGACCTCACAGGGGGGGCACCTGAGCTTAACCCTGAGTTCAGGTGAGAACAACAGAGGGGCTTAGCCTCAGGTGGTTTCATTAATGCGGGGAGGAACCTGAGCAATCAACTAGTCAGGTTTGATCGTTGCTTGCGGGTGGAACCCTAGGTTACAATGCGAGTGACTTCTCAGGTATCTGTTCAGGTGGTCAAAGTTTTTCATAATGAAGCGGTTAGAGTGCGCAAGTATCTGCGCGAAGATTGACTGCAAGGAATCTGAATGGGCAAGGAGGTGATTCAATGATTAACTGAAATGCAATCATTGCAAACGCACTGAAATACATGCCACTGCCGCCATCCCATACCTCTCCACTGCATCTCACTGCACTGCACCTCCAGGTACCTGGTCACAGAGGCACGCAGAATGGGCAAGGAGGTGATCGACCGCTGCAACCTCACTGTGCTGTTTGAGCCGGGGCAAGAGGTGAGGAGAGGGGAGGGTAGGAGAGGGTAGGGGATGAGGTTGGGAGTAAGGAGCTGAGAGTGGGGAGACGTGAATGCGGGCAAGGAGGTGATCGACCGCTGCAACCTCACTGTTCTGTTCGAGCCGGGGCAGGAGGTGAGGAGGGGTGAGGAGGGGTGAGGAGGGGTGAGGAGGGGTGAGGAGAGATGAGAGTAGTTGACGTGGATGGAGTGTGTGTACCAGTGCAGTAAGGGTGAGGAGATAAGGTGATTGATTCCCTGCTTCCCTTTGTGTGTGTCTCCCATGCGTATATATGCATGTGAGTAGGGTTTGGCAGAGTTCCTGGCGGCCAATCAGGTCCATGTGACTGCTGAGCCATCTCATTTCTTCCGTTTCCCTTCCATCCATGGATACATGTGTGTCTGAGCAGGATTTGGCAGAGTTCCTGGCAGGCGATCACGTGCATGTGGTGGCATTGCTCCCACGTCTCACGCCCACTGCCTGTCTGCCTCCCTGTGTGCATGCATGTGTTTGTGTGCGTGCGTGCGTGCATGTTTCCCGTGTGTGGATCTGTCTGAGTAGGATTTGGCAGAATTCCTGGCAGCCAATCAGGTGCATGTGGTGGCGTCTCTCCCGTGCTACTCTGCTGATAACGTCAACAAGCAGGTATGCGCGTCATGCATAGAGCTGGTTGCTGTCAGAGTTGGGGGGGGGATGGCTGTCAGTCAGGGTGGTAACCCTTCATCAGCTGATTATGTCAACAAGCAGGTATGCCCTTCATGCACTGGGTGGAAGACAGCGTGGGCGGGTTTGGTGAGTGGAGGGCCTTGATCAGTTGGTGAGTGGAGGGCCTTGATCAGTTGGTGAGTGGAGGGCCTTGATCAGTTGGTGAGTGGAGGGCCTTGATCAGTTGGTGAGTGGAGGGCCTTGATCAGTTGGTGTGTGGAGGGCCTTGATCAGTTGGTGTGTGGAGGGCCTTGATCAGTTGGTGAGTGGAGGGCCTTGATCAGTTGGTGTGTGGAGGGCCTTGATCAGTTGGTGTGGGTGGGGGGTTGTTGTTAGGGGGGAGTATTTGTCATTTGACCTCTGCATCAAGCATCAACAGCGCCTCACCCAACGGCGCTTCACCCAACGGCGCAGCGGCGCTTCACCCATGCATATTCTCTCCTTCCTCCCGCACCTGTATTCCCCCGCTTGCTCATATCCTCCTCTCTCAACGCGTGCTGGTGGGAAACAGAGGGGAGGGGGAGTGTTTGACCTCAGCATCAAGGCGCTTCACCCCCCTTCATGCGTATCGAACATTCCCTCCTTCCTCCCGCACCTGTACCCCTTCTCCCTTTGCTCATATCCCCCTCTGTCAATGCGTGCATGTGTGCATCAGAGGGGAGGGGGAGTGTTCGACCTCAGCATCAGGGCGCTTCAGCTTCTCAACGGCCTGGGGTAGGTGCAATGGAATGCAGTGCGGTGTAGTGCGCTGCAGTGGGTTGCAGAAGTGCAGTCTTCGTGTTTGCTGGTTGCTAGCTCAGCATCAGAGCGCTTCAGCCTCTCAGGTGCAGTGGAATGCAGTGCGGTGTGCTGGTGTGTGATGCAGTGGGGTGGGGTGCAATGCGTTTAATTCGTTTGTCGACTAAAAAAAGTGCTCGGTGCAGTGGGATGCAATGTGATTGAGTGCGAGTTTTGTGGAATGGAGTACGGTGCAGTGCAGTGTAGGGCTGGCTAGCTGAAAGCCTTTTGAGCTGATTCTCTGACAAGTCACTTGCTCAAAAGTTAGAGATGAGTGCGGTGAGATGCGTGTGTGCGGCCGCTCACGAGCTCAGGGCCGAGTGCGGTGGAATGCGATGGGATGCGATGCTGTTGGGGGGGAACCGAGTGCAAATGGGATGTACAGTGGCATCTGCAAAGGGTCTTTCAAGTAAAGGATTGATACTGTCTAATCCTATAAGTTCTTCTTAATCCTGTCTAATTTTTTTAAGTTGACTCAAACAACCAATTCGACTTGATTTTGTCTAGATTCTATTATTTTGGAAGGAGACTGTTTTTTCCTTCCGTTGACCCTTGATCCTTCCCGTAGCATCCTCCCTTGCCGAACCTGCATTTCAGGTACGGCAAGGAAGGCTCGGGTTTGGTGCTAGACCTGGTGTACAACCCGGTTGGGCCGTTCCTCCCCCCTGCTCAAGCCAAGCTGGAGGAAGCATACAAGGTGAGACGAGACGAGAAGGGGTGTGGTAAGGTGCGGTGGGGTGGGGTGGGGTGGGATGGGATGGGATGGGCTGGGATGGGATGGGATGGGATGGGATGGGATGGGACGGGATGGGGTGGGGTGGGGTAGGGTGGGATGAGATGAGATGGGATTTGATGTGCTGCTGCTGGGAACCCTTACCCTTCCAAGCCCCTCCATACCTCCCCATACCCTTCTCTGAGCGAGTTGATGCCATGCTATAGCATATCGTTCAACCAGCAGTCTCCTTTCCCCCTTTCCTAACACCTCCACTGTCCCATACCTCTCCATAACCCTCCCCACCCCTCAATACCACTCCATCCATACCTCTCAGAGCGAGCTGATGTCATGCTATGGCATATCGTTCAACAGCCTTTTCACCATCACCAACATGCCTGTCAAGAGGTGCGTGGTAGGTCGAGCTGGTAATGAGTGGTGAGCAGTGGTGAACAGGGATGAACAGGGGTGAACAGGGGTGAACAGGGGTGGACAGGGGTGAACAGGGGTGAACAGGGGTGAACAGAGCTGGAGCAGAGGGTGGTATTCAGTGCATATCGCTGAACAGCCTCTTCACCATCACCAACATGCCTGTCAAGAGGTGAGTGGTCGGTAGGCAGTGAAGTGAGCGGTGAACAGGGGTGAACAGGGATGAACAGAGCTGGAGGGGAGGTGATAATCAGTGCATATCATTCAACAGCCTGTTCACTAACATGCCTGTCAAGAGGTGAGTGGTAAAGAGGGGTGAGCAGGTGTGAATGGGGGTGAACTGAGGTGAAGAGAGGTAAAGAGAGGTTTGATGGGTGGTGAACAGAGAGTATCGTTCAACAGCCTTTTAACCATCACCAACATGCCTGTCAAGAGGTGAGTGGTGAGTGGATGTTGGGTGGTGCGTGGTGAGCAGGGGTGAACAGGGGTACATAGAGGTGTGGTGTGGGTGGTGAGCAGGGTTGAACGGAGGTACAGAGAGGTGTGGTGGGGGGTGGTGAGCATAGCATATCATTCAACAGCCTGTTCGCCGTCACCAACATGCCTGTCAAGAGGTGATTATCGGACAGAGATGAAGAGAGGTGTTTGGTGGTGAGTGGTTGACAGAGGTGAGCAGGGTTGAGCAGAGGTGCCTGTCAAGAGGTGAGGGTTGGGCAGGCACAGCTGCTGCTTCACCAACATGCCTTCACCAGCCAGGCACAGCTGCTGCTTTCATCATTCCATGCATTCACCAGCCAGGCACAGCTGCTGCTTTCATCATTCCATGCATTCACCAGCCAGGCACAGCTGCTGCTTTCATCATTCCATGCATTCACCAGCCAGGCACAGCTGCTGCTTTCATCATTCCATGCATTCACCAGCCAGGCACAGCTGCTGCTTTCATCATTCCATGCATTCACCAGCCAGGCACAGCTGCTGCGTTCATCATTCCATGCATTCACCAGCCAGGCACAGCTGCTGCTTTCATCATTCCATGCATTCACCAGCCAGGCACAGCTGCTGCGTTCATCATTCCATGCATTCACCAGCCAGGCACAGCTGCTGCGTTCATCATTCCATGCATTCACCAGCCAGGCACAGCTGCTGCGTTCATTATTCCATGCATTCACCAACCAGGCACAGCTGCTGCGTTCATCATTCCATGCATTCACCAGCCAGGCACAGCTGCTGCGTTGAGACGTCTCGAAACTAAATTGTGCATGTCTCTCTGTCCCTCCATTTGTGTCCGTACATCCTACCGCGTGTGATGAGTCGATTTTCTTTTGAGTCGACTCAAAAATCGACGCATGTCTTTCTGCCCCTCCGTTTGTGTCTGTACATCCTACCACAGATTCGCTTCGTTTCTGCATAGACAGGGCCAACTCGAGGACTACATGCAGCTGCTGGTAAGCCTTGTATAGGAGTTGCTTATATGGAGTACAATTGTGTTCGCATTGCTTCTGCATAGGCAGGGTCGATTCGAGGACTACATGCTGCTGCTGGTAAGTCTTGTAGTGGAGCTGCTTGTATGGTGTACACGTTAGGGCTATATGCTGGTGCCGTCAGGACAGTGAGATGACACGTCACCTATGCAGGCCACCGCCCTCAACCCACCGGCAGTAGGCAACGTGATGTGATGTGCCGGAACTTCATCCGCTAATGTAGTGGCAAACGTTGACCCAACCCAACCATTCCTCTCCCATTCTTCCTCCCTGCCTCCCCCCTCACCCACGCAGACCGCTTCCTTCAACCCACCAGCAGTGGGTTATCTGATGTGTCGAAACCTCACTGGTGATTCAACATCACATGTCGCCCCCCCACCCCTTTCCACCCCATTCCACCCCACCCACGCAGATCTCTGCCTTCAACCCAGCAGCAGTGGGCAATGTGATGTGCAGAAACGTGATCAACATTGACTGGTGCGTGGGAGAGGAGAGGTGGAGGGGGGAAGAGGGAGGAAAGAAGGGGGGTTGATGCACGCATGCATGTGACTAGTATGTGCATTCAACCCGGCAGCAGTGGGCAACGTGATGCGCCGAAACCTGATCAACATTGACTGGTGCGTGGGAGAGGGGCAGAAGGGGGGATACCGTGTCCATGTGACTGGTGTGTGCGTTCAACCCTGCAGAAATGAGCAACATGATGTGCACAAACCTGATCAACATTGACTGGTGCGTCTGTGGGAGAGAAGGGACAACAAGGGGTGATGGGAGGCGAGGGGGAGGGGGTAGAAAAGGAGGCGGGGGGGGGGGGGGGTGGTGGTTGGGAGGGTTTTGCAGGCAGGGCGCCCTCTCCTCTTGTGAGGCGCCTGAACAACGACTTTTGAGGCTCCTCAAAAGATGCAGGCAAGGCGCCCTCTCCTCTTGTTTTCCATTCTCCCCTCCCACACTGCGGGCAAGGCACTCTGTGATTTCAACCAGCAGCTCGCCCTCCGCGTTCCCTTCAAACCATCCAATGCAACCAGCGCTGCCTTCCCTGCTCTCCCTTCCCTGCTCTCCTTTTTTCTCTGCTTCCCTTCTCTCGCCTCTGCTCACCCAACCCACCACAGGCAAGGCGCTCTCTTCGACTGTGGCTTCAACCAGCAGCTCGCCCTCAGCCTTCCCCCCAAACCACCCACTGCAACCGACTCTCTTCTCTCTTCTCTCCTTCCTCTCCTCCCATTCGGAATTCCCTCTTACAGGCAAGGCGCTCTCTTCGGCTGTGATTTCAACCAGCAGCTCGCCCTCGCCCTTCCCTTCGAACCACCCACTGCAACCAGCCGTCCCGTCTCTGCTCTCCAATCTTATTCTGTGTCCCCTTCTCGCCTCTGCTCACCCAACCCACCACAGGTAATGCGCTCTCTTCGACTGTGACTTCAACCAGCAGCTCGCCCTCAGCCTTCCTCCTTTTTCTCCCCTTCTCTTTCCTCATTTCCCAGGCTCCTCTCTGCTCCTTCACACCGCAGGCAGGGCGCCCTCTTCGGCTGTGGCTTTAACCAATAGCTCGCCCTCGCCCTCGGCCTTCCTCCCAAATCATCTAGTGCAACCAACTCTCCCCTCGCCTCGCCTCTTGTTTCCCCTTCTCTCCTCCACCACCCACTCGCTGCAGGCAAGGCGCACTCTTCGACTGTGACTTCAACCAGCAGCTCGCCCTCGGCCTTCCCCCTAAGCCATCCGCTGCAACGAACTCTCCCCTCGCCTCTCCTCCACCTCCTCCGCCTCGCACAGTTTTCGACGTCCAATCACTGGATGAGCTTGTTGATCGCCCCATAGCCACAGCAGCGCACTGCTACGGGTGAGTGGGTTGTGTTCCTCTCTCCTCTCCTCTCCTCAATCTCCCACCCCCCTGATCCAATCACTGGATGAGCTTGTGGATCGCCCCATAGCCACAGCAGCGCACTGTTATGGGTGAGTGGTTCTTGTGCTGTCTCTTGTAACTGTGAGCGTGTGACCATGTTAGTGTGTGCTGCATGCTCCCCCTCCCCGCTCTGTCTTCGACATCCAATCGCTGGACGAGCTTGTGGATCGCCCCATAGCCACGGCAGCACACTGTCACGGGTGCGTATGTGTCCAATCAACATTCCTCTGCCCAGGTCATCTCCTCTCCTCCACTTCCTCCTCCCCTCTAACCTCGCTCTGTGTTTGACATCCAATCAATGGATGAGCTTGTGGATCGCCCCATAGCCACAGCGGCACATTGCTACGGGTGAGTGGGTGATGTCTTGCCTCTTGTAACTGTGAGCTTGTGAGTGTTTGCAGCGTGCTTCTCTTCTCCCCTCTTGCCTCTGCTCTCCTCCCCCGCCTCGCTCTGTCTTTGACATCCAATCACTGGAGGAGCTTGTGGATCGCCCCATAGCCACAGCAGCACATTGTTACGGGTGAGTTACTGAGTATTGATTTTACCTTTTTTTTTTTTTTGCTGCGTATCTGTAGTGAGCAGATATAGCGTGTGTTGTGAATCAAAGGAACTTGTTGACCAGCCGACTCATAACCACTGAAACACAATACTTCGACAAGCAAGCTGCTGGTTTTCTGTATCTTTGGAGTCTACTGTAAAGGCCACTCCATGAATCATTGACTGCTTCTTTTTGCTTTATTCCTTCATGCCTCTTTGCAGATGTACAGCTGGCAGCGGTTCCAGCTGTACTGGCGCAGTTGTATAGCAGCAGATGGGATAGTGTATCCTACAATGGTTGAACTTCAGTATGTTTCTATCTAGTCGTGTCGTGTCTCTAGATTTTCTCTCTCAGAATTCTCAGAATGGGGCACTTGGTCTCCTGTTAGGAAAGCATCATCCTAGTGCTTCTTACTCTCAATGGGTGGAAGCAAATAGTTGTGATTAGCGAATCCGTTTGTAAGAGTGTTCACTGCATCATGTTTTTCTCCCTGTCACCATCTGCTGTGATATCGCTAGGTAAAAACTTTTATTCGCAAACTTCAGTGACTTCTTCGCCAGCCATTCCCGCCGTAACAGAGCAGCATTCAGGGGCAGTCTGCCCGACCGCATAGCCCTGAACTTCTGAACAACTTGGGAAGAAACGCGCGAAAAGTGTTTGCGAAAAGTAAGGGCATAGCATGACTCGGAAGAAACTCGCGAAATGATTGCGTGGCGTCGCACGACGAGCTTTGTGACTCGGCGCGACTCAAATTCCGTGCATTGCTGTCCTGACAACTCACCCACATTCCTCGCACAGCTTTGGCTGACGACTGGATCTTACCTCCCACCCCCCCGCGCCCTTCCCAGACATCGCCTTCCACATTTACTTCGCTCCACTTTTGTTGTGTCTCATCAATCCCAGCTTGTTTACTCTCACAGCTATCCAGGTAGCCTTTTCCGTAAAGCACGAATTCGTCAGCTATATTTACCAATTTCTGCAACTCTTCGCCTCTAGTTTCGAAATCTCAACGTCTGTTGTTATAGCGAGTAAGCAGAACTTCTGCTACGTTCCTTTTTATGCTTAGTCGCATTCGATAGGTACTACTAGTAGTACCGACGACTCGTCGGACGCATCACCCAGCGCCGATGGCGGACGGAAAAACTCCTAAAGCGCTTCTACGAACACTCCTCGCGACTCTCCTTCTCTCCTGCCTTCTGCTCCCACTCGCTCCGGTGCGCGCGTTCGACTTGGACTGCGCAAACGAGGCCAGCGAGTCCGTTGCCGTGCTGAGCTTCTGTAACGGCAACGGGTGGCGTCGCACGTGTCTCTACGGCGGCGGTTATGCCACGGACGGTTCCGGAGAGTGCACGCTCGTTCAATCCGGTGCGCTTTACTGCGAGGACTGCCAAGGGAATGCGCACAAACTCGAGCGTTGCTGCGATATCGTAGACCTCCGAGTTTCCGATTCCGGTTACGAGCTAAGCGCCGGCCAACAGGCCAACACGTATGACATTGAATGGGGAATCGGTCTGCTACAGTGCCCAGGGAATACGGGCTGTGCTACATCTGGTTACCCGCAGTGTAACGGGGGTGGGTTCGACGGTATTAATTCGTGGTTCGGGTTAGATAAATATTCCTATGTGCAAGGTTATGAATTTTGCCCCGAATTCAGGGGAACGATACTGCGCGGGCTCGAGCCCCGCGGGGACAGCAGCGGCGGAGTGAAGCTGCGCGAACTAGAGCGTCCGTGGGAGGAATCCGCCGCTGAGGCGGACGAGATCCGCGCAGAACCGCCGCGCCCGATTGCTCCCCTCGGCGACGGCGCACTGGCGGGCGGAAAGACCAAGATGAGCCGCCGCCTATGGGGAAGCGGGCGCCCCTGGCCCCCCCCGAAGATGTATAGCCGCCGCCTGTGGGGGAGTGGGCGCCCCTGGTCTCCCCCAAAAATGTACAGCCGCCGCCTGTGGGGAAGCGGGAGGCAGTGGTACCCGTAGTGGTACCCGTGGCCGCCCTGTCCGTGGGAAGGAGGTTAGATTGATGGAGGTTGTTTAGTTCTGAGGCACATGCTTAGTTGAGCATTTCATTATTTTTTAGGTGCCTAAGAAGTCTGTTAAGGTTTTTTTAGGTGCCTAAGAAGTCTGTTGAAGTTTTTTTTGGCACCTCAGAAGTCTGCTTATGGTTTTTGAGGCACCTCAGAAGTCGGTTTATGGTTCTTGAGGCACCTCAGAAGTCCGTTTTTGGTTTTTGAGGCACCTCAGAAGTCTGTTTCGGTTTCCTGGTGATCTCAGCTCAACGGAGTGTAGGGGAGAGTGGGGGTGTGAGGGATACATGCAGTACCTGAATGCAGATTATACATGACTTTCTATTATTGTTGAAAAAAGTGGAAAGGGGTGAGCAGCGAGTAACAGGGGTTAACGGAAATGAAGAGTTGTGTGTTGGTTCGTGGGCAGGGCATATCGTTCAGCAGCCTCTTGACCATCACCAAACGTGCCTGTCAAGAGGTGAGTGGTGGTGGTGAGTGGTGAACAGGGGGAAACTGTGGTGAAGGGGGGGTCAAGAGGGTTCTGTTGGGTTGTGAGCAGATCATATCGTTCAGCACCCTCTTGACCATCACCAAACATGCCTGTCAAGAGGTGAGTGGCCGGTAGTGAGTGGTGCGCAAGGGTGAACAGGGCTGGGTTGGGTGGTACTCGGTGCATATTGTTTCAACAGCCTCCTCACTATCACAAAAGCTTTCACTAAAGTTCTCTTCGTTTCACTATCATCAGAGGCTTCACCAATAGCCTCTCTCTTTGTTGAGAAAACGAAAAACTAAAGCCTGTCGGGCTGTTCACCATCACCAACACGCCCGGTGAGTGATGAGCGGTAGTGAGTGGTTGACAGAGGTGAACAGAGGTGAGTAGAGCATGTTTCTCAACATCCTGTTCACTATCACTAACATGCCTGTCAAAAGTGGGTTATTGTGAGAGGCATGATGGGTGGCGGGTGGTGAGTGGTGTACGGTGAGCGGTGAACAGAGAATATCGCAGCCTGTTCACCATCACCAACATAACTGTCAAGAGGCGAGTTGTGAGTTGAAAGTGGTGAACAGAGGTGAGTAGAGGAGAGGAGAGATGAACAGGAGTGAGCAGGGGTCAGCAGAGGTGCGCACGCAGTGGTGTGCAGAGGTGTGCAGAGGTGTCCAGCGAGCTGAGGCGAACAGAGCCTGTTGCTCAAAAGAGGGGGTCACTGAACCTCAAACCGTCACCAACGTTCCTGACAAGTGGGGTTGAAGGAAACTGAACGGTGATTGTTTGGAGAGAGCAAGGGAATACGTCGTTGGAGAGATTGGGTTGACCAGATTTGGAATTCCCTCCAACACTACTGGTTGGCCCGATGGATGGAAGTCCTATGTGTCTGTTTGGTCACCCAATAAGTTGGAGGCATGACCACCAATAATCGGAATGTCCATTAACGGTTGGGTTGGGTGGACCTTCAACAAGAAGGACTGGGGGGTCTTAGTGGAAGTGTACACTTGAGATTTGGGTGGTATGCTTACATAGTTAGCCTATATCAATGCTACAATTTAACGTGGGTTTCATGTTGGGAAGGCACTGCTACTGGTTCCGTTTCATGCCAAGGTTATGCTTGCTTGTTTCAAGCATGTTTTGCGTATGCGTCTTTCCATGCGTGTTTGTCGCTGATGCATCCGTTCACAGATTCGGATTAAAGATGGGTTCAAGATGAGCCTAAACGTGGTTGTCTGTCTTTCCATGCGTGTTTGTCGCTGATGCATCCGTTCACAGATTCGCATCGTTTCTGCATAGGCAGGGCCAAGTCGAGGACTACATGCAGCCGATGGTGAACCTTGTATTGAGCTGCTTATATGGAGTACAACTGTGTTCGCATCGCTTCTGCATAGGCAGAGCCGACTCGAGGAATGCATGCAGCTGCTGGTAAGCCTTTTAGTTGAGATGCTTGTATGGAGTACATCTAGTGGTTCTATGCTGGTGGCATGCGTGCATCCTGGCATGCAGTAAGCATAGCAGTCACATGCATGCACACATACACACATCTATCCCACTCCCTCTGTTGCCTCCTCCATTACCCTGCCTGCCTCTCCTTTCAACCACGCAGGTACCTGCGTTCAACCGAGCAGCAGTGGGTAAAGATTATTGTTCCTCAAGTGTGCCCCTCTGCTGCATTCTCTCCCACCCACTCCCTCTCTGCTGCCTCTTCTCACCTACAAAGGTCTCTGCTTTCAACCCAGCAGCAGTGGGCAACGTGATGAGTCCAAACCTGACTGGTGATTCAAGCATAATATGTCGCCCCACCCACCCCATTCCACCCCATTCCACCCACGCAGATCTCTGCGTTCAACCCGGCAGCAGTGGGCAACGTGATGTGCACAAACCTGATCAACATTGACTGGTGCGTGGGGAGGAGGGCGCGGGGGGGGGGGGGGGGGGGGGGGGGGGGGGGGGGGGGGAAGGGGGTAATGCATATGTGGGGTAGTAATTGTTAGGCTAAATCGGTGGTCAACCCAGCAGCAGTGGGCAGCGTGATGTGTCGAAATTTGGTCAGCATTGACTCGTGTGTGTGTGTGTGGGAGAGGATTGAAGGAGGGGGAGGAGAGAGGAGGAGGGGAGGGGGAAGGGGGAGAAAGAATCTGGTGTAATTCGGGCAGGGCGCCCCTCTCCTCTCGTTTCCCCTTCTTCCCCCTCACACCGCAGACAAGGCACTCTCTTCAACTGTGACTCAACCAGCAGCTCGCCCGAGGTGACTCAAAAGTCGGCCTCTCACCCCCACTATCTACTGCAATCGACTCTCCCTTCTCTGCACTCCATTCTTTTTCTGTCTTTCCTTCTCTCCTCTGCTCATCCAACCCACTGCAGGCAAGGCGCTCCCTTCGACTGTGACTTCAACCAGCAGCTCGCCCTCAGCCTTCCCCCCAAGCCATTTGCTGCACCCGACTCTCTTCTCTCCTCTCTCCATACTTATTCTGTGTCCTCTTCTTCCCCCACACATTCCATTCAAGGCGCTCTTGTCGACTGTGACTTCAATCAGCAGCTCGCCCTCGCCCTTCCTCCCAACCCACCCAACGCTCCCCTTTCTGCTCTCCATTCTTGTTCTGTGTCCCCCTTTCTCCTCACCCACTACAGCAGGGTGCTCTCTTTGACTGTGATTTCAACCAACAGCTCGCCCTCGGCCTTCCTCCCAAACCATCTAGTGCACCCAACTCTCCCCTTTCTGCGCTCCATTCTTATTCTGTGTCCCCCCCTCTCTCCAAACCCCCGGGCCTCCTACTCGATATGCCCATTGCAGGCAAGGCGCCCTCTTCGACTGTGATTTCAACCAGTAGCTCGCCCTCAGCCTTCCTCTTCTTCGCCCCTTCTTTCGTTTCTCCGTCCCTCTTCTCTGATCTCCTCCCCTCCCCTCTTGCAGGCAAGGCGCCCTCTTTGACTGTGATTTCAACCAGCAGCTCAACCTCGGCCTTCCTCTCCCTCTTCCGCTGCAACAAACTCTCGCCTCTCCCTTCCTCTCTTGTTTTTTCCCTTCTTCCCCACACATTCCAGGCAGGGCGCTCTCTTCGACTGTGACTTCAACCAGCAACTCAACCTCAGCCTTCCCCCCAAGCCATCCACTGCAACAAACTCTCCCCTCGCCCCTCCACCTCCCCCTCCTCCCCGCTCTGTCTTTGACATCCAATCACTGGAGGAGCTTGTGGATCGCCCCATAGCCACAGCGGCACACTGCTTCGGGTGAGTTACTCATTCTACATACTTTGTGATTCTTATCTGTGGCGAGTGTTGTGAATCACTGGACGAGCTTGTTGATTGCCCCCCATAGCCACGACAGTGCACTGCTGCAGGTGAGTTGCTGGTTCTATGTAATTGGTAGCTCTTACGGTATTTGTGGTAGTGAGCATGTATAGGTAGTATAGCGTGTGTTGTGAGTCAATTGGGAGGAGCTTGTGGACTGACAAATAAGCAACGGAACGCAATTCTGCAAGTTGATTATTCTTCCTGAATGTACTTGTTTAGTGAACCCGAACTGCCACTTTGCGTTGCGTCGGAAAGTTATTTGGCCGCTTCTGTGCACCTCTGGAGTCGACATTGCTTGCCCGTTAATTCCTTCGCGCTTCTTTTTCATCTCTTCATGTCTCAATGCAGGTGTACAGCTGGCAGTGGTTCCAGCTGTACCGGCGCGGTGGTGTAGGTGGTAAATGGACAAGTGTACTTTACCATGGTTCAATTTCATTACCATGGACTTCCCTAGGTAGTGTTCCCTATCATTTGGGAGTATGAACATAATGAGAGAACCCATCTTAGGTGTACATAATATATACGTTTTCTACCTGATATATTTGGTGGATCAACACAGAAATTTCCTGTGCACTTTAGGGTATCATGGGCCTATGTTAACTTCCTTTCTAAAAAATAGTGAACCACCTTATCAAATGGAGGGAGGAAGCTGTTGTAATTGATTCATGTGAGGGTTTACCTGACACTCGCTGAATAGCGAATCTGGTTGTAAGGGTTGTTTTCTCCCAATCAAGTCAAACATCAGCTGCGATGCTGCCAGCGGAGATTCGCCAGCCATTCATGCCGTAACAGAGCAGCATCGAGGGCCAGTCTTGTTAGCCCATAGCCCTGAACAACTCGGTAAGAAACGCGCGACACAAGCTTGCAAAAATCGAGGGCACTGCAAGACTCGGAAGAAACTCGCGAAATGCGTGCGTGGCGTCGCACAGCGAAATTGGTGACTCGGCGCGATTTGAACTCCATGCATTGCTGTCCTGACAACTCACGCAGCATACACATCAGCGGGATTCAGCGCCTGCGGCTTGACTGCATCCCTCCCTGCGCACCCTTCCCCGCTCTCTCCTAGGGTTCCCCCCTCTCCCTTGCCTCAACTCATCGTCTAGTATTTTAGTTCGTCCCAGGCTGTGCCTCGCCAACTCCAAGCTTGCTTACTGTCACAGCTATCCAGTAGCCTGTTTTTTCTAGGCACGATTCAGTCAGCTGTATTCAGCGTCTCTGCGCAACTCTTCGCCTTTCGTTGGCGAATTTCGAGGTCCTATTTTTAAGCGAGTAGCATAAAGGCAAATTTAGTTATTTCGTAATTCATTCTCTTTAAAAGTAGTCATCAGCTACTACTACGACGCATCACCAGCGCCGATGGCGGCCGGAAACACCCCTCCCGTTCTTCTCCGAAAACTCCTCGCGAATCTCCTCCTCTTCTGCCTTCTCCTCCCGCTCGCCCCGGTGCGCGCGTACGACTTGGACTGCGCAAACGAGGCAAACGCGGCCGTTGCGGTCCTGAGCTTCTGCAATGGAAACGGGTGGCGTCGCACGTGTCTCTACGGTGGCGGCTATTCCCCGGGCGACTCGACTAAGTGCGCGCTCGTGCAGGCTGGCGCGCTTTACTGCCATGATTGCAAGTGGAAAGCGAACAGGCTCGCGCGTTGCTGCGATATAGACCTCTCCGGTTACGAGTACAGCAGCGGCCAACAGGCCGACACGCATTATATCGAGGAGGGAATCAAACAGCTGCAATGTCCGGGGAATTACGACTGTGGTGAATCTGGTTACCCGCAGTGTAACGGGGGTGGCTTCGACGGGACTACCCCGTACTGGTCTAATGAATATGCCTATGCGGAAAGCTACAGTTACTGCGCCGACTTCGAAACTAGTGGAAACGTGCTGCGCGCGATGGAGCCTCGCGCGCCGTACAGCAGCGACGGGGTGCAGCTGCGCGAATTAGAGCGCCCACAACTGATTGAATCCTCCCGCGACGACGCACTGGCGGGCGGAAAGACCAAGATGCGCCGCCGCATGTGGGGAAGCGGGCGCCCCTGGTCTCCCCCCAAGATGTACAGCCGCCGCTTGTATGGAGGCGGGCGCCCCTGGTCTCCCCCCAAAATGTACAGCCGCCGCCTGTATGGAGGCGGAAGGCAGTGGTACCCGTGATAAGCAGATTCGACAGAGCTTTGAAGGTGACGCCAAGGGGAACACGGTAGGACGTCACTGCATACGATTTTCTTGAGGGGTTGGTGAAGTGGAAAGGCGATCATGTTTTGATTTATGATGCATACAGGGGTTTTTTTTAGTAGCCACGTGAAGCGAGGTTGTTTTTGAGACGTCTCAAAAACATACAGGGGCTTTTTTGAGTCAAAAATCGCCTCATCACATGCTTTGGTTTAGGATGCATACAGGGGTTGGTTGGGATTTTCAGGTTGTTCACGGGATGGTAAGTCCAACCATTCCGCTTGGCTGTGTGCTGAAACCTATTTGTGGAGGAGTAGGAGAGTTTTATTGGTGGTGGTGGTTATTACTATTGACATTGCCTTTGTATCTGCTGCTGTGAATATTTCGTTTCTGGTTGCATTTGTTTACTTGAGTGAGCTTTTTCAGAAGATAAGCCCTCAAATCAATGGCCAAGCATGCATGAACCCACCTATGGAACCTTGACAGTACTGCATATGCAACTTTTAGTGTACTATTAGTTCTACTCCCATTAAAATAAGCTACCCCTTCTGGACTTAGTACGAGCAAAACGCGAGATGCACACATAGAACCACATTGCCACACTGCCACAGAACCACATAACCTATCCTGCGTTGCACCCATGGGTGCTGTTGCTGCATTACCCACCACACCTACAGCAGCAGTAACTATGGCAGTGACAGCACCACCGACTTCAATGCCAGTGTGTCTCTCCCTCCTCCTATTCCTCCTTCCAACCCTCTCAGTCCTCCTCCCATCGCCCCGGTTCAGGTACGCCTCGGGTCCAGTGCAGCTAAGGTTTGGTTCAGGTACTCGTCAGGTTCGGTTAGGCAGACGTTCGGTTTAGGTGCACCTCAGGCCTGGTGCGGCTGAGGGTCGGTTCAGATATGTCTCAGGTCCGGTGCGGCTGAGGTTTGGTTCAGACACGCCTCAGTTCTGGTGCGGCTGAAGGTGTCAAGAATGAAAGTGTTGGTTCATTGATGTGGGTTGGGGTACATGTAACAAACCCTAACATCTGTACCCCCTAAGACAAACCTCACTACAAGCTACAACATTTGACACAATCCCATAGCCTAAGTGAGGGGTGTCAAGCAAAACCAAAAGTGTACGGTCACAAGACCAGTCACAAATAAACAAAGCTCAGGGTGGATCACAACGTCACCACACACTCTGAGCACAAGCAACAGGGGCCACAAGGCCAGTTCGAGAGTTCACAAGTGTGTATAGCAAGAGTACAAGCAAAGCAAACAGTAGACTCAAGCCTATACACGACTAGAAACTATGTCAACAAGGCCTAACAGCACACAACACCTCTGGTGGTCACAAGGCGGAAGCGCCTTGGTGAAGATGTCTGCAGTGTTGGCCTCGGACTCCACAAACTCGAAGCGACCATGTCCATGTCTCTGCAACTCTCGCAGAAGAAAGTACTTGGCGTTAATGTGCTTCACTCTGCTCTCCAGTCGCGGCTCTCGGCAAAGGAGAATCGACGCCTTGTTTGAACAAGGTCGGTGCAGAGCTCGGCCGCTCACCAAGGTCGGCGAGCAAGAAGGTCAACCAACGCAGCTCCTGTGCCGCCATGGCACCAGCGTAGATCTCAGCCTCAGCTGTAGAGGTTGAGACCGAAGAGGAGCGCGCGGACCGCCACGAAACAGCTCCATAACCCAAGCTGAAACAGTACCCCTGAGTAGACCTATGAGTCTCAGCGTCGTCAGCGTAAGAAGAGTCACAGTGACCAGTAAGTACGACAGGCTGCTGCCCTCCAAGAACTAGCCCCACGCCTGATGTCGTCGCTAGGTACTTTGCCACCCTCACAGCTGCCGTCCAGTGAACACGACGGTGTCTCCTTGGCGCAACAAAGCGAGCAAGGATGCTGAGAGGGAAGGCGAGGTCCGGGCGATTGCAAGTCATCACGTACATGAGGCAGCCTACCAGCTCTGCGTAGGGACCACTAGACTCAAACGGCTCGTCAGGATAGGGTCCAGTAAGTCTGTGGTCAACAGCAAGAGGTGTGCGCTGTATTGTGGAGTGCTGAAGCTCGAAATGCTGAAGGACCTGTTACACCATGTGTGACTGTGAGAGTGTAATGGTGCGAGCAGCTCTGTCCCTGGTGATCTGCCGGCCAAGGTAGTGACGCAGCTCACCAAGGTTAGGGCACGTGTGTCTCTTCTACAGTTCGGACTTCACGTCTGCCAAGGCAACCCTGTCAGCAGTGGCGAAAACCCGGTCGTCAACGTAGACCAGAACAAAGAACGGTGTGGAGCCACGATGAACGGACAGCGACGGGTCGGCAGAAGACGGCTGGAACCCAAGGTCAGAGAGGGTAGAACGAAGAGTGTCGTGCCACTCACGAGGAGCCTGACAAAGACCGTGGACAGGTCGCCTCAGCTCCACTGGGTCCCAGGAGGGAAAGTGTCAGTGAAGGCAGAGGGACGACGCAGCCAGACCTCCTCGTGTAAGCTACCCTGAAGGAAAGCAGTGGAGAAGTCGAGAGAGTGTAACTCGTAGTCTCTCTGTGCTGCTATGTGCAGTAACACCCTAAGAGTGGTCATCTTCGGGGTAGGCGCGAAGGTCTGAAAAAAGTCAACTCCCTCGCGCTGACTGAAACCTCTAGCCACGTAGCGCGCCTTGAAGACCAGAGGAGATCCAGGTGGTCCCTTCACCCTGTAGATCCACATGCCATCGACTACGTTCGCCCCAGGGGGGGGAACCTCGTCGACGTAGGTGCCTGTGGATCTGTAGGAGGCCATCTATGATGGAAAGCGCGTGAATCTGGAGAGCGTACAAGATATTAAGTCCGCCGACTTCGACGGAAAATTGCGTGCAGCTCACGTAACCTTAAACTATGAGCAGGTACGCGTTGGAACGGTCTTAATCTCTACTTTCCAAAATGGTAACGCACGCTTTCAACCAAGATCTAGGCCGATCGCTATCGCGATTTAAGTGCGACGGTGTATTCTGGCGGAATTAGTAGGCAGCCATGGATTAGACCAAAAGACTAGCTTTAGCAAGAGTTCAGATCTGAAAAGTGACGAGTTGTTCAAACCCTACCAACCCAACCCTCGCCCTACAACAATCCCCAACAACCCAAAGTGCTAAACTAGCAACACCAAAGGTGTTGTAGTGAATAGCAAAGGTTTGTTGGTGCTTGTTGGGTGCGAGATCAATACCAGCCCGCAACAAGTCTAACCACCACATTTTGCCCAAACCCTT